TGTGTTGCGCATGTCACCACCCAGACTCCCGGGACCGCGTTGTTTGTTTGACCGCGTTGTGGATGGAAAAAGTGGAAGAGAGACCAACCGATGACTTAGTCAAGAAATATGAAGACCATCATTTCGAAGTTGGCTTCAGTTGGAGCATCCAGATTTACTGGTTGAAAGCGACACTTGTTGTCATGACGGAGTTGTCACCCCGATGGCGTTTGTGTTGCAAGTAATAATTAATAATAATGTGCCAGCTGTACGTCGTAACGACGCTTCGCTGCCGTGTGACCACCACCAGTCGCACGCGGTCTGAGTATACCGAGAAGACACCCACCCCTACGCGGATTCGGACCCGCACCGCAAGATTACGAGAGAAGATCGTAACCTTGTGTTGTGAGTTCCCTTATTCCGCATGGCCTCCCTCTTCAGCCACGGTTTCGACGATGCATAGTATAAAAAGACGAATAATAATATTTCTTGCTTTTTTACTTGCATTTTATTACGGTACTACAGCTAAGGTGTTCCTTCTCTTCGGCTAACGTACATAGTGACGATAATGATGCCGCCAATTCAACTAGTCATATTAGACGCGTCGCTTTTGCATTTTGGTCTTTTGCGTCGTACTTCTGCTCTTCAATCTTGTATCAATTTTTTTATATTTTTTCAGCATCGTTACGCCATTGTGCCGCGATACATAAAGATAAGACATACGAAAACGCAAGCTACTGAAAATTATGGGATGCAAAAATTAGATGACACAATACTTAGTAGCATAGTATGTGTCAAGAGGGTGATCGTGGTTTGAGGGGAGCCTAAGAAGAGGGGATGGACAAAGTAACTCACAACACAAAAGCCATTGAGGTCGGCTTCTAGCCATGTCAACTGGTATACCCAACCAAACGTGTTCCTCATTTTTCTGACCCCAACCCGACAGTCGGGGGACACCACCCGACGCCAACTTCGATGAGAGGGATTTCATTCCTTTCGACCAAGGCATCGCTTGGCCACCCTTTCTTCCTTCATCCACACCGCCGGCGCGCAAACAACGCATGACGCGGGAGTCGATGTGCTGGTGTTCGCAACACGTGGCCCAGCCATCAGAGCCTGATGCGTGGTATAATGGTGCTGATCGGTTCACTCGCTCCTCATTCCCCTCGCCACTAATTATTTTTGTTTTGTTCTGCTGATTAAGCAAATAGTCCGATTTGAACAAGATACCCTGTATTACCGTGTATAAGCCGAGGAATTTTGGACACTTTTTCATGTCTGTAGTGGGAGTCGGTTTATACAAAGGGTATGCGCAATTTGAAAAAACCATATGCAAAATCCACCCAGAAATTCACCGTACACCTATGCCGTCCCTATCTTGTCTTAGCACTACTCGCTAGTGACAGACCGTATCCCAGGCGGGAATTTGAAGTGCCTATAGGTAGACACATTATGTTCGTAATTTTTTTAAGGAATTCGTCCCAGTAGTTCACAAGCTACATAGCACAGCCTAGTCCGGAAAAGCACCAGACGAGTTTTGCCCTATTGGGGCTCGTCAGTGGTGCAAATTCCCTCGATCCCCTACTGCGGATCGAACCCATGACCGCTAGAGGTAGATGCCAACTAACCTGCAGCTTAAGCCACTTAGCCATGGGGGATGTTGGCTGAGATACGTAATTTGCAAGCTAACTGGGATATAGCACCACCTATCTTCCATTGTCACTGACAGTGGCTAGCCTGCGTGGTGACGACACTATGTTTGTGTCGCAAATTCTCGGTATATTACACATTTGACTTTCGCTACGGATGGCAGTAACAGAAATATTATACAGAATCGAACACCATCACACACAGTATCATTGGAAAACGACATGACAGAACAGCACGTAATGGTATATTTTATGAGCTCACATATTCAAATGCTGTGCAATTGTATTAAAATTACTCCAATCTTTCGAAACTAGAATCCGAGTCAGAGACTCTAAACAGTTTCTCGTACTGGTCGTCTGTCGTTGGCACGTCAGGGTGAATATCGTCATCTGTGCGGTTAAAATCTTTGTTCTGACGGCTCTAAGCTCTAGTAACTGCGATCATCACATTAGATAACCGAAACTGACCAATAGTAGAGCAACTTTCGCTTGAGCACACTCAAGTGAGAACAGGTAGTGATGAAGTCAAAATCGTGGGAAACAATTTCGTTTCTCTTTGCTGATTTTTCGGGGGTCAGCTAATATGCGGACTTACGATTTTGGACAACTTTGACACCCCAAAGTCATACTGTCGGCTTATACACGGTAATATACGTTAATCGAGGCTTGTTTTCGCCATTTTGATATAAGCCGTTGTGCTCATTGATAATGCTTTGGGGGGGGGGGCTTGTGTTAAGGTTGAAACCTTAGGTTTACAAGGTCATGTCCTTCGTATACCTTAGCATGTACTGTACGCTGTCGCCATGCATCTGATTGGACAGAGCCGTGAGGCGGCCAATCAGTGGTGTGACCTAAGGCTGTGTTTCTCAAAGTGTGGTCCGTAGACCCCCAAGGGGTCCGCGGGACTTCCCGAAATGTCATAATGCCGGCAACTGGTTTTGAACGTAATCAGTTTATTTTATAGTTCGACGGAAACCTGCAGTTTAATTTATGAAATCATATCCGACGGTCTATATTAGCCTTTGTGATTGGTTTCGCGGAAGCTTATAATGTCAGTGAACGTAGCCGCCAAATGTCAGCAAGTTAATGCGGTAATCTTCTGTGATGCGACGGATAGGGGATCGGTTGGTCCACGCAAGCTCATATATATATATATATATATATATATATATATATATATATATATATATATATATATATATATATATATATATATATATATGCATCAGTCAACGAATAGACAAAGAGCCATCGAAAGCAATGGAAATCAGGAGGCTACAGCTGCTATAAAAGGAAAACCGAATACAGCGTAGAGAAATCCATGGTTTCGTCAGAGGGCAAGATACTATCCGGTTGCCCAAGCGGAAGTAGGGTGTTGACCTTTTGACAAAATAGCCTATCTGCAAGGCGCAAAGGAAATCATGTTATATTACTCCTTTTAACGGTCATTACGAAAGGTGTTATCCTCCGAAACCGAGTGATCGGATTAATTTGCTAATTCGACTTTGCGAATTGAAGAGAGAATACGACGAATACGAAAAATGATTGTCCTGTTTTCTTTGTTTTGCACTTCAAAGTTCGACTCATCAGATTGATCGAATTTGAGGTTTATTTAGCAAATCTTTACATTTTTCTATATATTTTAGCATTTGTACATCCACCATCTTGATAAGCCATTAGCTGAGGACAAGAATGTGGATAAATTTACACAGATATATTTATCGTCGAGTTCTGTGTACTGATTGTTGCTATCAGATTCTTCTCTTCAGGAATACTTTCTTATAGTGTCCTTGTTTGATTTTTGGTGTAAAATGAAGGACTAGTAATCTGGTATAGCTGTCACCGTGCTTCTTTCATGTGCCACAACGTATCCGTGTGAACGTGCACTTTCGTATTACATCTATACACTAACAAAGTACCACAATAGACTTGAAGCTCAACCAGATATGAGGTTGTAGTTTTGCTAAATAACACCAAATATCAACGAAGTCAGCACCGCATGTTTGAAACAATTTCATCTGTCAAATTTCGACAAGATGTACGTTGTTTTTTCCACTTACCTTCAACGTCTTATTATGTACTATCTTCAATGAATACCCGTGTTAGTTAAGTGTACATTCTTGAACGCTTTCAGGACACACCGTCCCATCCTCTGTTTACCAAAACCTAGTCCTGTGGTGAACAATATCGCAGGGGGTCCGCTAGGAGAGCTTTCACTGAAAAGGGGTTAATGGACCAAACAGTTTGAGATCCGTTAACCGAAAGACTTGGTCAGGCTGGTGTGTACCGTCTTCGTGCGGGTGGTCCACATCGGTAGCTGGAGCGCCTGTCGGACACGGTACAGTTGTGCAGTGAGGGGCGCTCGTGCACCTTGCTCTAAACATTCTATCCACACGTTTTTTCTTCGAATTTTGATGGTGTTCTGTTCCATTTTCTCGCCCCCTTGTTGTTGTCTCGGCGACGCTAGTCCGGGCAACTTGATCCATGGCGCTTCGGTGCTTTGATCATAGTTATTTGTCTGAGCTGATATTACGGTTTGCGCACAGCCGTTCCTTTGGATCGACTTGTTTTCGTTGTCTCCATATTGCTCGTTACATGCCTACTAAAACTCATGAGAATGGCGTTTACAAATACAAGCGACGCGTCTGCATTAACTGGCGAATGGTTGAACTTAGTGTCTGGGTTGCTTTTTGATGGGCACAATTGTAGTAATGTGACCACTCAGTGTTTAATTCACAGTGATTCCCAAGTCCAATAGATATCCTCGGGGCGGATAAAACACAGCGCGTTACTCAGTGCAGGTTGCACTACTCACTGAAGCAATTTCCCAACTACTGTCATAAGCGTGCTCATCAAAACTTGACGGTATAGCAGTAATTGTTGTGTTTGGTAACCACCGGGCTCCTGTTCCGAGGCTTGCTCGTATTGTTTCTAAGTGATGAATCCACCCACTGATAATGTTGTTCGCACACTGTCTCGTCAAAAGCTAACGACATCTAACTGTCCGTGACTCAGACATGGCTCTGATTTTCAAGACAGCAAATATTCTCTTCCAGGTAACTCACCTTCAAATTTGAGGTCACCTTTCGCAAACTAAACTCAGTGAGCACGTAGTCTGCAGATCAACCACGCACCCACAGCATTTGGCCAAGCTAGATTTTTTCTACCTGGAAAACTTATTGGCGTTTCTGTAAGGCAGCTAGACCACTACTTGCGTATGTTTCCTTGGCTTTTCACTGCCGGTCATGTCGATAGCTTCGAATGTAATATGCTGATAGGCATTTTTACTCCTTATTTTTCACTTCTCCATCTTTATAAACCCCTAATAAGCTGATCGTTGGTCAACTTTCCGTGCTCCGTTTTGTTCTTCAGTCGGGTACCCGCTCATCTTAATGTTGTTGACATTGCCGGACTGGTAAAGGGCGCTCATGAAGGTCAAGGTCTAGGCAACGCCTTCCTGTCACATATACGTGGTGTGGATGCTCTCTTCCACATGCTCCGTGAGTCTATTTGGATACATCTGATCGCTTCGAAATATTCTTTTATTAGTTCGATTACCTACCGCTGATACAGTCACTATACACGGTTTCGTGCAATAGTGTTAGTATTATTATCCTGTTACACGGATTATCAGGTGATTTTGTATTTTACCTTAGATATCTGTGGTCATAAGGCATGACTATTCTAGCTTTTTTCCCACTACCTTAGATGCATGTTACTTTATCTTTTTGCAGCTATTAAACATTATATTTAGCGGGCCACGAACCTTTTCCTTGTGTTCTCCCATTCATTCTTCATTACTTTGCTGACTTCTCTGCGCACACATCTTTTCATATACTTATGAAATTGCGATCATGTACAAATAGCATGGGGTCTTTTTTCGCGTCTATTGCTAGCGTTATACAGCAAGTTGACCGTGGATTATTATGCGTAAATGGAGTTTCTAACCATCACCACACTGGGAAAGTTGATTCGGGGACAGCAAGCTGTTATAGCGCATACAACGCCGATTCAAAGGAGGATGCTGACAAGCACCGCATAGTGGAGTAGTCACAGCTAAGGCAGCATCAATCCACCGGACCATACTAGAGGATGTACTCGCATCTGCATCGGCCACGCTGCAGATAAAGACATGTGCGATCCACAGCCGAAACGTCGCGAATTATACCAAAGTATTAGAGCAACTGTCGATAGCCCACAAACTGACGGAATTCTTAGGTTCCATAGGCATGTGTTGAACAATTTTATTTGTACCACATGGGATCCGATATAGTATTATATCATGCATGACTCTTCGATTTACACTAGAACTGTCAGACTTGAGTTTCACTGCATTACGGTCCAGCCTTGTGTGGTCCCTGGAATGCTATACTTCATCAGGGACAGATTAAGTGGATAAGGCAAGCGAAAGTCTCGGTTCGCTGCCCTCCGTTTTGAATGTTTAAAACATTCGCAGAATATAAACAAGGCGAGGCTCTACTTCCGCTTCATTGCTTCCATATTTTATTTTGTGCCTGAACGGAAGGCGCCAGCGTAGTCTTTTTTAATTTCCTTGTCCACTTTACTTCCTTAATAACGCCATCTCTGCGTCACTATTCACTGATATTTGCGCTTCATCTGCTGTGCTATTGACATGTACTGTTATCGTATTTCTACCCTGAACGTCTTTTAGCCATCCCTATTTATTTCAGTAGTCATGTTGGTTTCCTGTCAATGCGCATCGAGCAATTGTCACGAAGCCTTACTCCCTGTTCATATAGCTTAGTTCTCGGTGACATCTTGTGTTAGCCTGCTGGATTTAACCAACTTTAAACTGCTTTGCTACTCTTCCGTGCTTCATACAGTCTATTGTCCCTCTCACAGAACCTACCTATTATTATTATTATTATTATTATTATTATTATTATTTGCCTTCTCTGTGGGCGTATGTTTTGTCTTATCTATGCCTTATCTCTGAGACGCCGTACGAACATTTCCGTTCAGATTCACCATAAGTTCATTGTTGATTCGCTTCATCTGTCCTTTGTACTGTCCCATTCGCCTTAATCTGTGATTTATCAACGAATAATCATCTTTTCTTATTTTACAGGTGTATTTGAGAGCGAAGATGTTTCACATGTGGAGGGCGATATCAACCCTGTCCGCGACTTGGATATCATCGCAGAGGAGCTACGCTTGAAGGACGTTGAATACATAACCAAGGAGTGGGATAAATGCGAGAAAGTCGTCGTTCGTGGAGGCGACAAGCGACAGTTGCCGGTATTTGAGTGTCTCAGTAAGGCGAAACACATGCTTTGTGATGACCACAAGGGTATACGGTTTGGAGACTGGACATCTTCTGAGGTAAGTAGATCCACTGTGTGTAGTTAAGCTGCTTCGTAAAAATCCCGTTTCAGTTCTTTTCCCTTGATCTATCAGAGTACAAAGTGCTGCACCATCGGCCCATCAAAGTTCCATCTTCAGATGAGGGCGCCACAGTAGCCGCTACTCTTTCCACCTGACTGGCTTTAGTTGGCAGTGCTTTCACTTCTGCTATTGGAGTATTTCTTTGTTGCTGTCTGCTCTGGATTAATCAAGATATGGAAAGAACATCATGCTGTAGAGCTCAACTGAGTACCGTTCCAGTTCATCCGGAGCACAGATTCAGGAAAGCCATCGGTTATTGAGACATATATATATATATATATATATATAATGTCTGTTACGTGCCATCACATTCAGCGTTTGCAAGCACGGGAGTTCCGAGTCATGTGGTCCCCAACCTGGGAGGCTCGCTGATCCGACTGAAGCTAAGCTTGAGATTGTTTTCTTCATGCTCCTTTTCCACGTCATTGGCTGTCCACTGCGATACTTTTTCTAATCGCTTCCGGGAAGCGCAAATCAGGCTCGCATGGGAAGGCGACGGGATAGCATCCGCCGTGCGTGGCAGAGCCAACGCTTGCGGTGTCGGAGAACTACATTTTGAAGGCTGGGGCTGTTCGCTCCAAGCACTCGTTCACGAACCTCCGTATTGCTTATGTGATGTTTCCAACACACACGAGCGATCCTTCGCAGACAGCGGTTGTCAACAAATGACAGTCGTCTCATGTCTTCGGAGGGAACAGGCCAGGTCTCACAGCCGTACAGCAGGATCGTACGCACGGAAGCAGTGTACATCCTGCCCTTGAGCTTGCGACTGAGGTCACGACGGCGCCATAGGTATCGCAGTTTGATGAAAGCAAGGCGGGATTTTGCAATGCGCTGTGAGACCTCATCTCCAACACCACCACCAGCCACGATATGACTCCCTAGATAAGTGAAGCAATCTACCTGTTCCAGAATGTCGCCAGCAATGATGAACACGAACGCAGGCCCCCGCCAACCCTGAAATAGCACTTTACATTTGGCTGGGGGGAAATACAAGTCATAATTGGATGCCTCAATCGCTAAGCGGTTCAAGGTGTTTTGGACGATTTTCAGATCTTCAGCCAGCAAAGCGATGTCATCGGCGTAGTTAAAGTTTGCGATTCTGGCACCAGGGAGATGCTCAACACCGCATTTCCGGACACTTCGCGCTCGTTGCACGACATCTTCAATGGCAAAATTGCAGAGGAAAGGTGCAATAGGGCGATCTTGGCGAACGCCGCCGGGGACAGCAAACGAAGAGGAGTCTGCCGGATTATTTTCTCAGCAGTCTATCAAATAGACAAAGAGACAAGTACATCCCCGCCATCTTTAAGAAGGGCCGGTTGAAGGTTGTCAGGGCCGAGAGGTTTGTGCCGTTTCAAAGAACTAATTCTCGCTTCAGATCTCTACTTCGGTAAGAGGGTCAGTGGGAACAAGTCAAGCAACATCCGATGGAGATGAAAGTGTCACTGAGGGATGTGTTCGGTAGTTAAATTGAAGAGCAAAGTGCTCTGCCAAGCGCTGCAATTGCTTCTGCACTTTGGTGATTTTTGTGCCGTCTAACTCACAAATTGTCTGACTGATGGCGTGTGAATTGCAGCCGGTGGCCTTGATGAGGCGAAAGAAACTGCGACAATTTCCAACCGAGGCAGCGGCCTCAATCTTAGCAGCACTCCTAGACCACCAGGATTCACGGTCAGAGCAAATATTTGCTTTCAGCTGTACGGAGATAGACCGACGGATTTCGTTGTGCTCCGTGTCAGCGAGCACGGCGCGTCGACGATCTAAAAGTTCCGAGGAAGTTGCTGAGATCCAGCTTTTAGCTGTATAGCGGACGAGGCCGCTGCTGGACAAACCTGCGGACAGCATGGCATTTTGTAAGCTTAACCAGTGCTCGTCAGCATCCAGAGAAGAGGAGGGGGCAAGGTTTTCACGAAGCTTCTGTTGATTCTCTGTTTGTACTGCGGGATCTTCCAATTTGCAAATGCTCAGTCGGGTATTTTTGGCCCTTGGGAGCCACCGAAGCGCATGCAACTGTCGCGCACATCAATGCGTGATCGGTTTCCACACAAGCAGACCTGTATGATCGGAAATCGCGTATACTTCCACACCACTTTCGACTTATGACTATTTGGTCAATATGCGACCAACGCTGGGTTGATGATGGAGGACGCCAGGTGGCCTAATATCACCTGGGGTGACGAAAACTCGTACAGGAGAGGAAAAGTTGCTGATCGCCACACAGACTGAGCAGTCTTTCTCCATTGTCAGAACGAACATCATCATATCCATCTGGTCCCCCGAGGTGGCGTTCAGATGGAAGCAGCTGACCAACGCGTGAGTTGAAGTGGCTGGGAAAATAGACAGTTGGTTGATTCTCAACCACGCCGATTAGTACGTTGGGTGGTGTATTCCAATGTGCAATTTGGCAGGTATGCTATGACAATACCGTTTATTGAATCACCTGAACCCACGTGGGAAATCAGTATCGCACATCTAATTTTGGATGAGGCAACGCATGAACTCGCTGTGTTAAAAAGCTCCTGGACCAGACGACCTTTATCCGTCTTTGCTGAAAAGTGAATGTTTATCCTCTCTATTTAACACTATTTGGAACTGTGGAGATGCTTTGGATTGGCGATTGTCAGGCGTCATCCTTATCTTCAAGACGAATCTTTTTACTTTGTGGGAATATTCCCGACGCACTATCCTTATTTCCACTCCCTCCAGCCGCCTCACGGGTATCATTCTGCGACAACTCACTGGTCCTGATGAGGGCCTAATTATTGAGGGCTAGGCTAGCTTTCACCTTAGGTGTGGTTGCATTGACCACATATTCAGGATCCGTCAATCTTGGAAGCTGAGATACACTTACAGACGAACACCTTTGGTTGACCTTCGACTCTATTGATCTTGCCAGCTTATGGCATTAGCTATATGTCGGAAGTCTCTTTACCGGGACTCCGGTGGCTAGGTAAGGGTCGTATGTCGTCTGCCGCATGGCACATTGGTTTTGTTGGGGAACTGAAGATTCAGTAAATCTGGCATTTGCTCGGGGAAGCCACAAGTTCTCGACACCAGTTCAGGTTCTTGCGAGTTGGTAGTAGATGGTCTGTATTTGCTTTTCACTTACTACGGAATGGTGGATTAACTGCGATATGTGATCCATCAACACTTTTATTTAGACATATCTCGGTAAGCAATAACCAACACGGCAATTCCCTTCCTTCCAGCTTTTTGTATTCGTAATAGAAACTGGTGTCAGATATATGATATTCGGGTTATAGTAGTGTTGCTTATTGTGCAAACTCTAAACCCTCAACATTTTGACACCCTCGTAGCCAAACTATACTGTTTACGTAACTCACCCTCTACACATCAGACTGTGCTAACCCTATTCCCTTTCCCATTGCTATCCATCATTTCAAACTTTCTCTGTTCACGCATACTGTTTCACTTTTTTAAAAAGAATAATAGCCCTCTAAGTTGTTGTTGCTACCTATCCTGCTTTACACTTACTTTAATTTCTTTCATTGGTAACAACATTGCCACAAAGCTTATCATGGAAACTTTGAGCGTGCTTGTGTCTACGTTTTAGCATCAGACTTCTTAATCCTGTCCATTCTCTGGACTCCTTTATCTCACTCTGAGTCTGGTCCTTTTAGTCACAGTGGCTTCCATAACTGGACGTGGTTTCCCAAGTTAACTTTTATGCGCTGACAAAGTAACAACTGCCTAACTTCTTCACTGTTGACACGGAACCTAAGGATCACAAGCCTGCCTTGTGATGATCCGAGCGTGCGGGTTCGATCCTGCGTACGGACCGGGCGACCCTCGCAGTATCCTTAGCCCACGTTCGACTGATGGTGGTTGTTCGGCATCGAAGCGTGTGTACTGCGTGCAGACATAGTGTTAATGCCTTTTGTTTTACTTCACTAGTTTCACGCAGTTCCAGCGTTGTTTTCCACATTGTGTGAAAAGAAAGGCTGTAGAATGTTATACCCGACTTGTTTTTGGTGAACAAACGTGGTGAATTTTGCCTAGCTGGCGCAGTGCTCATTCGGTATAGATAATCGGCGAACCATTAACACAATATGGTCACATGGTTACTACTTGCTGAAGCAATTTTCCATTGTGAAATCCTTTTCGACCATGCTCTTTTGTACCTCAGTTGCATTTTTTGTGGCCACCACGCTGTATGTTTTGTTTAGCCCAAGGCCTAGCTGATTTCGGCCCAGATACCTCTCCCCCTGAAAACACGTTCTGCTTGATGAATCTCGTTTGATTGGGGCAGTCGTTCACTCCTCACTAGGTTGAACTATGTCATTATTATTTGTGATGATGTTGTGGTTTGCTGCAAGCAAGTTACTTTATGCTGCACTCATGCTGTTGCACGTTCTACGGTCAAGATACTCCCGAAGTCACGGAACTGAGCATGAACGTGACTAATTCGGTGTACACAAGGTCTCTTCACCACACTAAAACTTCACCATGCTTGCTGAATTAAATAAATAAATAACTAAAATGTTTATTTTCGATTACGTGAGGCACGCCTGCACAGACATGATCATAGTAAGAGTACAAACATGTGCTAGTGACGAGTCACAAACACCACGTCACAATGTTGTTAAGCAGTCATTTGTGGCTTTTTATAAGAAGAACGCTTGTCAAGCGAAAATCCACCACGTCCTGGAACACTGCTGCCGAACTATTTGCTGGAACGGCGTAACCCGAACCACCCAGCAGACACCACGAGGTGACTTGAAAAAGTCACTGAAAAATAGAAAAATCACTGCTTTGAATTGTCAGTGTTCCAGATCACTTTTTTACGCTGCTATCAATCTGATCTAGAAGTGACTGGTTTGCGTCTGCATTCGTTTAGTCTATTCCGGTCGCTTCGTAGAACTAAATTTCATTTTCTATGTGCACAAACCTTTCAGACCTGGGCGTTCGATCAAACTACGATTGACTAGTGGCTTTTATCGTGATTCATTTTTCGGCTAAGACCACATTTCTGAGCTAGCTAGGCTTACTCGTCTTGGATCGACCGTATCCCTCACCGATGGCTTTCTACTTAGCTCCAGGCACATTATTCGCATCACCAAGAGTGTCACGCGAAAGGACATGTTTGGCATTTTTCCTATAGATAACTTTTTATGATTGTTGACTTTGCTCAGCTTCTAACAGAGGATGTACTTTACCCCAGTTTTGACCAAAAAAGAATTCTTGCAAGCTAGATTGGTTATTACATGTCATCCAAAGCATTTGTATGCTGGGATCGCCTCGTTTCTGTTGCACAGAACCCAAATGAAGAAGATAGGAAGGTCTCTCAGAAGGAAGCATTGAATTGATTGCTTGAAAGTTGATACCTGAGGTGGTTAGTGCAACGCTAGTCGCAAAGAATTTTAAACCCGCATCCGCGGTATATTCTACAGTGGATTGGGACGGTAAGAATTCTATTTAAAGAGGAAACTACGAAGGTCATCCAGAAGGTGCTAAAAAAAGATATGGGTTGTTTTTCAGAAGGACCAAACACTCCGCTCGGCCCTAGTACTGTGTTAACGAAGTAGTTATCCCCGCTTACCTACAGTTCTCCTGGTGTAGATAACATTCGACCGAGGGCTTTGCATGTAGCAGCCGGTGTTCTGGCAATACCTCAGGCTATTTTCTATCAGCGCTGTCCAGAAGAGAATCAAATTCCACTAATATGGAAGCGAGAATTCATGACTCCTATTCCTACTGGGTCGTCGTATTGACCATACTAATTACTGTCATTTAACACTTCTTCCGATGCTTTCCAAATATATGGAATCGATCATCGCAGATGCGCCGATACTTTCCTTGGAAAACCACAGCTTAATAGCTCCGGAGCAGCATGAATTTCGCCATAAGCACTCATGTTCTACTGATCTGTTAAGTGCACTTAGCAACTGAACCTAAGCAGTTGATGGTGAAGCTGGAGTGGATGTCATCTACCTGGACTTCTAAGAAGCGTTTGCTCGCTTAGACCACCGAACTCTCCTTCGTAAGCTTCGTAACTTTGGCATTGGCGACCCAATCTGGGGTTGGATAGGCATTTTTCTACGTGGTTATCGATTGGAGAGAATCCCTGCCGGACGCACTTGAGGCGGAATGCGGCGTACCTCGAGGTTCTGTGCTATGGCTTCGCCTGTTCTTAGTTTTTCTTAACGATCTACCGTGGTCAAATGCTTCCTATTTCCTATTCTTCACAGATGATATTAATATGTAGCGAGCAATCGGAGGACCGGACAAACAAGAAAGGCTCCAGAGCAATTTCAAAACGACTTCGAACTGCTCAGTTCAGAATACCCTATCGTTCAATGTATAAAAATCTCGAATGTTCAACTTTGCCATAGGCATGACTACACGTATTGGTTTGGAGCATACAGATTGCATATCAGTTCCCAGGAACGTGACCTTAGCGTGCTCGTACAGAGTGACCTCAACCGTTCGCAAAACAGTCTGAGGCAGTGACGAGAAGGCAGCCAGCACGTCGGCCTGCTGATGGGGGCATTCGGGAGTTTTGACCCATCAATCTTCCCAATGATGCATAACTCCTACCTGCGCCCTTGCGTAGAGTACGCTGTTTAAGCTTGGCAACCTTGGTTGAACTGCGACCTAGAGGTGCTAAAGACACCACGACGCATGATAATCAAAGTGTCAAAGGTCTACGCAATTACTCTTACCAGCAAAGGCTGTGGTTACTGGTCGTTTTCATTAGAGGCTACCGACTGCTACGCGTTGCTGTCATCTCAATGTAGTCACTACTGAACGACCCAACTCAGTATGCCGCCATTTACTAAAACTGGACCACAACACCAAGCTCGGATGTAACTACCTGCAACTGAGTTGACAATGAAGCGTCTGTAGTATTAATAGAATTACATGTATCTTCGTGTTAGCCAGCTTTGGAACTCTCTCCCGCACTCAGTTGTCTCCTCACTTTATTCAGATCTTTCAAAAGCGATTGTTTGTTGCTCTTAGCTCCCAGCAATTCTTTTCCCAAACTCTGCTACTTCGGAAGATCGTTATCGTGCCCTCATATCGGGTTTCTGTATTACTAGAACTTAGCGAGGTAGTACATAACTGAGCTACCATATTTCTCTTTTTCTCACAATACGTCAACTATCACTCTTCCTCATGTTGTTCTCTATGCTTACATTCAATACTTATCTGACACTGTCGTTGTCCAGGAACGCGTTTAAGTCGATGGAGGCTTGAACAAATGACACGCGTTTCTTTTCATTTTGTTTTTTTCACCCTAACCACCCTACCAGACTTGTCAATCACCTGCCTTTTTATCCTTGATGAATACCTGTTCATTTGAAGAGCCTACTTCTAGTAGATAGGACAATGGATTGCATCCACCAAATTAATTGAAATACTGCGCCCACGTGTACGTAGTCCAAATTTCAAGAGAGCAACGCCTGAGGATAACAGAACTTGAAGTGCATATCATGACTGCCGAAGAACAACCTTGAATGCAGGGCTATACTAAGGGATTCGACCATGGTGCTGAACACGATGGATACAGGTCCTGAAATCGACTTGTATCGAGATCGTTAGGAGGGGGTTGCGATAAACACCCCAAAGCCTGACCGCTGAGGCGATTGGGATGAGCATGATGAACTACTGCATGAACAGAATGAAAAGCATACAGCTTTGGAACCTGTATTGGACTGACCTAAGTCAGACCAATCCGTGGAGCATCGACGGACGGATCGGGGGCAGAGAATCCTCGTCAAATCGACTCCACACCCATCACTGACACGGGCTTACGTGTGTGACTTTGTAACGCGGACCACTTAGGACCGTTCCATGCACTGTGACCTGTAACACAATTAACCTTCTACCTACATCCCAGTCGTCTTGATTACCTCCCCACTCGGCCTGACGAGGTTTTGTGTCCAAAACGGAACGTTGCCTACAAACTATACCAACCTTATTTTTCTCAAACCCTTCTGAAATCATGAGTTCTCGATCGGTTCCAAGCGTTTTTCAACATGTTGTATACTTCACAGGCATTCTGTTTTCTTGGTTTCCCCTTTTTCCTCTACCTATCGCTTTCCACTCTCTCCCACAGATTGAGATTTTGAACGAACACTTATTTATTACGGCGAAACCAGTTATTTATTTAATCAACATGTCAGAGAAAGCCTTTCTCAAGAAGAAGAACAAATGGTACGTTTATCCTGTGTTTTCTACCCTAGGTGACTTTCGTTATGCTTTTTGTCCTAAGTTTGGGCGAGTTGATTGTGCTTTTATTGGTCTACTTGAGTGGTTCAACCTATTCAGCCTACTATCTACCCATTCCCGCTGCTAGGCCACGAGATTATCTTGCGCCATAATTCTCATCGGTAGATCCATTTTCCTATTTTCTGCTTACGTCACTTGGTTGGGCTTGCGACCCACTATCAAGGGCGTTTTCACGTTCGGGCAATTGGCACTAACCTTACTAATGAGTAGGAGGACCTTTGCTGAGCTTTTATTGATTCATCTCGCTGCCTCACAAGCCAGATAATCCGACCAACATTAAGGAGAAGCACCGAACGACTGTTTCGCTCTATTGGGACGGCAGCGGTGCGCACTCTCCGGTTCCATCAGGGACCGAACTCGTGACCACTAACGGCTTGCACCACTATCTAGCAGCTTATGCCACTGTGCCCATGGGACAATGGTAAACCGTCATCATTTGCAAGCTATCTGGGATCTAGCGCGACCTGACTACTGTTGGGCTCGCATAGCTCCGCGAAATTTGTGCATACTTCACCTGAGCTCACCCCAGTATCCTTGCTGTGTCAGCCTTCTCAAGTTGCGGTGATCCAACTGAGCTGTCGCAAGTGACTGCCGTATCTTTCGTTCCAAGCCACACTGCCCTCAAATGAGTTTTCTCAGGATATTGTCACTACTTGGCAACTTATGTGCCTTATCAACATTCATCCTCCTTTATCGTTTATGTACTACGTTGCTATACTATTCGGGTATAAATACGTGATGTATGTGATATATCTTTTGCCTTTGACTAAGTCAGTAAACGATCACTTGTTATCGGCCAGTGTTTCCTGGATTCCTGTGCAATTGTGCGAGGTTACGGGTTTCCTCTCTAGTCTCGACTCTCATGTACAACATCTGGCGACTAGGTCCCTTCGACGATCCGAATTCATTTGGCTACTGTGAGCGTGGGTCACTATCAGTAGAAATCCTTTCGGATGTTCCTACTGGGAGCCAGAAAACTAGACGTTAAGCACCACCATCCACTGCCATGCAGGTTACTACCCTTGCGGAAAGCTATGGCTGGTCTCCGTGAGGTCACTACTTCCACTGCGCAGTAGATATGTACACAAGATTTGAAGACTGTTAGAGCGAATTTCGATTACTACTGAGCGGGATTTTTTATTGCTTTCCAGGTTTGATGGTAGGACTATAGGGCTTGTGAGCTGCTGTGGAGAAGACGTTATCCATTCTAAGCCCCCTGCCTACCATCAACTTTTCGTTCCTTAGCTCCTAATTTTCACAGACGATAGCGTTGTGCCCAAGCAAGTGGGTTCCTGTTATAGCCATTTCGCTGCATTTTTCCACTTTTTGTGGCCTGACTGCTCCAACTCTGACTTCACTCAGCTTGCCTACACCTCGAAAAATCCTTTGCTTAGCCGCACACAATAATTATATTACTATTAACAATAAATCGGTAATGCCTGGACATTCCAGCGAACCGGTTCATGACAGGTTCTACTTCAGGTTGCTGAGTTCATAAATTTATTTTGGCCGGATCATTATTCCCATCGCGTTAACACAGAGTCTGCATTACGTTTGCTCCGGTGTGAACAAACAAGCTTGTCTCTTGCAAAAATTCGGCGGCATCGACGAGAAACCTTCCTTGCGGCTTTCACAGCCCTGCGTCGCAGTCAGCCATTACCTGCAGATAACTCAGCACCAAACACTTTAAACAGGCAGTCCGACTAGGAGCCGGCAACACACAAGTTACTAGTGCCGACTGCGAGCCATGTCCTGAATGTTTTCGAGCCAAGCACAAGGCGAGTCGCGTGGACTCCAGCCCGGAAGGCGAGACGAGTCGACGGCACCGAGTTGGGTCGTCAGTGACTTCATTCCTCGCTGCCAATTCAGCTTTTGTCCATCTCGAGCCTTGCGCCACCCCACATCTGGCCGACTAAACTAGGCCAAATCCAAGGCAACTTATTCAGTGCTATATTTTGTTCTAGGGAACTGACTTGATATTTACTGCCTAGTACTCACGTACCTCATCGTTGCGGACACACTTGTGCCACGCGACACCAGCAGTGCTGCACGGACAACGATGATCAAGGACTTGAAGGCGCCTCAGATCCTCAGCTCGAAGGGGTCAAGTCTTACTCCCACAGGGTAGGGTGGCCGTCACTGTGGCCTTGTAAACACGGCTTTTCAGACGGAGGGAAACTTTTTTCTGTCGTCAGAGATGTCGTACATCCAAGTAGGCTCTTCTGGCTTTTGTAATACATGAACTGGCTTCAGTTTCTTTGCGCTCATCGTTGCTGATGCAGCTGCCAAGGTACGTGAATTGATCGACTACCTCAAGTTCCTCCCTATTTAGGATCAGGAAGTCAGCAATTGGCTGGTGTTTCTGCAGCAACACTGCATTTTGAAGGTACGAAGCGCACAATATGTAATGGAACAACTAGAGAGGTTATTCAGAGTTGATTGGGCCGCCCCATCATGGTTCAACAGCAAGGCATTATCATCCGCATTATCGAGATCAACTAACCTTTCACCAGACAGGATCTCAACATCTGCATCATTAGGCTCCACACGAAAACACTCCATAATAGAGTCCACGACGAAATTGAACAAAAAATGGAAAATTAGACAACATTGACGAACGACATTTCTTTTCCTAACGCTATCCGACAGGTCACTGTAGACCCTGATGCGGCATATAGCGTTTGAGTACAGAGCACGTAAGATATTTATATATTTCATGGGAACACCTTTCCGCGCAAGTATCCCGAACAGAATGCCTCGCTCCATTGAACCGAACTCATGAGCACAGTTAGTGTCGTCACATGTGGCTCTCCTCTAGCAACTGCTGTACAGTGAATATGTGGTCTATATAACCGTGTCCAGGGCGGAAGCCTGCCTGCTCTTCCCTAATCCCTCGATTCTCGCTCCGCAGTGAAGCGACGACCGCGAATTGAGACCAGTAATTTTACTACCACTGGCGTTAGACTAATACCCCAGTCGGTGCGACTACCCTTCTTGCATATTGCCACTAATCGATTCCCTGCAGTTGGCCGGGACGGTCTATTCCAGACATGTCCGAACAGTGAGGTCAGTGCTTTGCAGAGGACCTCACCCCCATACTTGAATAGTACGGGTGCTAGCCAATTCGTACCAGCAGAACAAAAACGATTGTGGGCTGCGATCGCGTTTCGGACCTCAGTTCCCGACGGAGTCTCTAAACTGGCCATGGCTCAGCTTGCAACACATGAGTAGGAAGAGGTACGGAAGCCTGGGTTCAACTGAGCTGCTCTCGAAAGTGCTCCACCCAACGAGCCATATGGCTCTCTTTGTTGTGAATCCGTGCACACGCGCTGTCTCTAATTGTCTCCCTGACGCCTGATTTTCTGCGACCAGTGGCGCGTGCGGATCAGTTGGAAGAGCTTGCGATAATTGCTTACTACTCCTGCATCCTCCATTTCTTGAGCCTGACTGGTCCATTCAATTTCCTTGTCAGCACGCAGGCTCCGCTTTCGTTCCTTTCTTGTAATCTGACGGCGCTTGCTGCGCCTTCCAGTAATGTTCAATTAAAAGCGACTACGTAACAAAGCATAATCAGTCGATGCAACTACTTCAGAACGAGCGACAACCAAAGATGGGACCATGCCACTTGTTATTTATGGCAATGTTATCTATTTGGGTCCATTGATGGCCAGCTACAAGAGAACGCCAAGTGGCACTTCGGCGCTCACTGTGTCTAATAGCGGTGCTACTGAGATACAGCTGGTGCTCCGTACACAGTTGCAACAGATGCTCGCCGTTGTCCGTCCGTTCGGAACAAAGCCCATAATTTCCATCTAGCTGAGATTCTGAAGAGCCCAGGCGACTTACTTGTGCATTCATATCCGCTGCAAATACTGTGATATCTGGACTGGTAACACTGCGTAGTAGTGTGTTCAGTTCATGGTAGAATGTGTTCTTGGCAGTATTGGAACTGAAGTCGGTGGAAGCGTAAGCGGAAATCACGAGCAAACAGTGTCTTGTGCTACTTCGTGAATCAACCTCAGTAGATGTCGTCAGATGGGCTGTACACGAACAGTTGCTCATGGTAATCCAATCTACTCAGCCTTGGAGCTGAGGACGATGCCCACTCCAGCTTGACAAACGGTTGCCGCATCAGGGTCTCCGGATGCGTGCTACCAGAGAGGAAAGTTCCCAACATTTTCGTCTGCAGCTACTACCGGGCAAGCGAATGACCGACTTAGATTGTGCGGATGACATCGCTTTACTTGGTAATGACTCGCAGAGTGTGCAACTTGTTCTAAATCGTTTGGCCATTGAGTCATCTAAGTATGGAATGTGCTTCTCCCCATCGAAGTGTAAAGTGCTGCTGCAGGATTGGTACTCGCCTGTTCAGGTGTTCACTTTTGAAGATGCACAGCTTGAACAAGTGGATAGCTTTGTCTATCTGGGCAGTTGCTTGTCTGGTGATAGCAAAGGGTGGTGTTTACAATGCCACCGTTCGGGCGGTGTTGCTATATGGAAGCGTGTCGTAGCCAGTTAACGTGGATGACATGCGCCGGCACTTGGCCTTCGACGATGGGTGCTTGAGGAGGATTGCTCGTGTGTGGTGGCAGCAACGTATCTGCAGCAGTGAAGTCAGACATCGTGTCTTAGGAAATGCGAGTATTCCCTTCAACAAGCTAGTTTTGCTGCGTCAGTTAAGATGGCTCGGCCACATCCTGTGTATGTCAGCTGAGCGTTCGCCCTTTTCGCGCGTGCAGGGCTTGGCTTGAAGAGTCCACTTAGCGACAGCATATGAAATCGTTGACTTCACGTCTTGTTGTCATTGAATCCACATGTCTGCCTGGTTGGGGACCAAAGCACGAAGAGTACCGATGGATAGGAACAGTTCAGGATATGGCACACAATCAAAACCAGTTGAAGGTCTGTGTACGTAATTGTTTACATTAAGATTCTTAATCCTTAACCATTGAAAAAGACCAAAAATGGCAGAAAATAACAAAATGTTCCGTTCTTCTTGTGGCATGGTAGCTGAAGTGTGTTGCTCACCTTCAGCTAATGTGCCATGTTAAGGATACGTTGATTAAACTTGTATTCTTCCAGTGATTACCATGGTTTTGCTTTGTTCCGCGTCTGTTTGTTAGACTCTTTCTAACACTACTACTATTTCTGCTTTCAAACACTCCATCTCTGTCTTTAGACTTACGAATCTGTATAAACCCGCAAGTCACTCAAGATAGTTTGTGCTTCAATCAGATTGCATCCAGCTCACCAGCATACATGTGCTCGCACTGGATGCAATTTGCTTGAGGTACAAAACCATCTTGAGTAGCTTACGCAGAAACATGATTTTCTTGCGGAGGAAATTGATTGTATTATGGATGCAGTGGATCACAAACTAGTGTAGACAGACCACCACTTTGCAATGCTCCATGCCATCTATGGCAATTAAGTCATTCTAGGTTCAGAGCAGCCAGTCGTGGATGATAGCGAGATGCAAACATGTGAATGCTCTCGTTGGAAGGCAAATAAAATGTGTCAGCTGTATACGTGACGGCGCTTCATTGCCGCGCGACCACCACCAGTCGCGTGCGGCCTGAGTGTACCGCGAGGACCTCCATCCCTACGCAGATTCGAACCGGTGACCTTATGCTTGCAAACCAGGCGTGTAGACCACTGGGCCACCGGACGACTCTCGTTGGAAGATTGTGTTACTGTTTTTGTGACCTGCGAATAGTTGGAGCCAGTGGACCTTATTGTTACGACGAGTAGCGACACCGAAATTTCGGATAAACGGACATAAACGGTCATAATTTATGTGATTTCCATCTTCCGAGTGGAGTATGCGAGCAGTAGATTGCTTTCATGGTCGTCGGCTCCCGAACTGCAGCCGGAAAAACTATGGCGTTACCCATAAACTGACGAATGTTGGGAATCGAAACGCACACATGTAACCATTTACTCTTATCCACTCTAATAGATAGTTCTAAGCATCTCTTCTAGAGGAAACACCGACATCATTAATACATCAAATCTTTTATCTAGCATCCCGGGTGTCACTAGGAATACATCTTTTCTCTATAGAATTTGAGCCATCCCTCAGACTTCTTTTATACATACAACCTAAATGTGTCCCATGAAAGTGTAGAGTACAAACAAGTGATTTCTGTTCGCCGATCTACCCTTTAACGATCTTATGTATACCCAAACTTATGAACTGAAGGACAATTCAAGTAGACGCTTGTCATCAGGAGCAACGCTTGTTGATCTGAGAAGAAGCTAATCTAGGAGTAAGATGAGACAGAGAACAGAATGGAACACCGGCGTCTGAGTTTTTGTCTGTACTTAGAGTTTTCTAGGTGCCTACTCCGGCAGCAATTTTTCATGTTTCCCTTGTCTAGCGTTGGCTGAACTATCTGGCTCATAGGGCAGTGCGGAGCTTTCTCAGCTCAGTAGTGAGTGTGGTTTTCCTTCGGCATTTGCTCTAGGTCGCCCACATGCAGCGTTGGAGATTCGGGACAGCTGTTTTTTTAATTTCTTGACCTTGTGGATCATATATGTGAGACATCGATTGGCCTCAGGTAATTGTTGCTGAGTTTGTATCTTAATGGACAAGGCTGCTTTTTTAAGGTTCGCGGTGGCAGGTTAATGCGCAAGAGCAACTCTATCTCTTCGTCAAAGACAGTCAGCGGCGTTCTTGCTCCAAACAAGTTAAGCCGCTCTTATAATCCGTTTGCTGTTTCCCATGACTGCATTCCAGCAAGACAATTGACCTTTATGGTGCCTCTTATTGAGAGTACATCTGGCCTCCAGTCACTGGTCTACTCGCTAGGAGTGCGTCTTAAGTCAAATACGCTGCTTGGTATATCACTGCGATCCACACGCAACGTTAAGGTGCAGTTTCATCTCGAACAGCATGGTCACAGATATGACCTTTTTGCTTCGAGAACAATCGCGTATAGTTCTGCACCTACGAAGAATACGTGTAACCTGTCTCTCAGGACAGCTGGGTCTGCTCCTCATTGCTGTATGTCAGAATATTTTTTGTGCGTTTCGTATGTGTTACCCATGCAAACCTCATTTCTCTCCACCTCCCTGTTGCCCAGAGCATTACATCAAAGTCCCGGACAAAACTCTCCATCTCCTTAAGCACCTAAAAAACACCATGTTCCAGCAAAATTGTCTCCGACGTTCCTTTCTGCATTTGTCTTACTTGCCATAATATGAAAACCTTCCGAGGGTAACTTTACTATCACTACGGCTTGTTTCACAAAGTACTTGATGGAGTACTTGAATTTTTTATCAGATCAATTCATTTCACCTCTTTCAGTGATCATAGCTCATGTTAACTCAGCCAACAGGCAACAGTAGCTTCAATCCTACACTCTAATGTGGTAACTTTATGCAGTTTTAAAATTCAGTGTTAGCAAACGTATGTTTTCGATAATTCTTCATCAGGCTAGTACAATTATATATCATTGACATCGATTAGACAGACTACTGAGTTGTTTAAACGGGGTAAAATCCGTTTACATGTGGTCAACTATCGCCGATAATCAGGTCAATGTCGGAGTCTTCACACAATCCAACTACTCGATCGGGCCAAGACATTTGTAAGGCAGTTTCTCCAAAACGCTTGTGTGCGTAGTCATCCTCATTCACGGCAACAGCCACACCAGTAATTTACTCCGATACGTCTTTGTCGCACCACCATAATGATCCTACTGATGAGGAATCAGAAGAGGACCTGACGTCATTCTGAATACACTGGGCAACCAGGGCGGCTGTACCTTAGCGCGCCCTTAGCCCTTAGCGTCGGTCACCAACAGTTGGCCATCGTGCGAACGTAGGTAGCATTAAGGAGACAACTCCCTTGCGGCTTTCACTCGTCACATCATAATCAGCCTTCGTATATGGATCATTATCGAAAACGATATGTAATTGGAGGATGACATCAAAAGTGTCATTGGCTCCTATCTCAGACCATGTTATGCAAGGTTTCGCATCAAGTAATGGATGATCTTGCGAGCGTCAGTCTGGTAGGTGAGATGGACCAATGACACTCAGTTTCTTCGTTTCCGTATGTCAGACCGACGACTGCGTCTGTCGCTCATTGCACCGATCTATCCTAGACAACCAGACTGGGCTCCTGGGCAAACAATGGGTGGACATTCGCAGCACGTGCCCAGATCGCCCTAGCTTATTGAGCCCTATTGGTCGATATAGCAAGCCAACCTGACCACCGCAGTATAACCAATCCTTACGGACAATAGTTCCAATCGGCACCAGCAGCGCTCTAAAAGCAATGATCGGAGATTTGAAGAAGTTTCAAACCCGATGGACCATTGTTCGTTGCTGTGCAGCTTAGCAGCTCTCTATATGATGTGAAAACACAATCTTTAATTTCAAGGGTATCCTTGATTTATCCTAAATGTGTATTTTGGGCCCTGCACGTATGCGTGTACTATAGCACCTGTCATTCGGCTCGTTTGTGGCGTTTTTGAACCAGTTTAGGGCAACTACCGCCTTGGTCATTCAGGTTTTGTCACTAGATTAGCTTGTGAATTTTAATGCTGTGAAGGACTTTTCCAGTTTGGTGAATGATTCTCTCTTAGATCGTAAGATAATGAGTAAGAAGCATAATTATGATGGGCTCTGCACTATACTTGCATAACCTGTCCACTTCACTTCGAAATGTTTGTTCATTGGCGCTCACTTGATGTCTCTCTTTGGACATCATAGACGAAGTGTACAGATCTAAGCTCGTGAATACCGTGCATCTTATATGGTTGACATATTGTATAAAGTCGCAATACTCTAAATCTACGCTTCAAATGTCTCACCATTGTTCCCTGATTAGCTGTTCACTCTTTTGGACTCAGAAGGTTCTAAGTTTAATGCGTATGCAAATTGCCACAGAGACGTTTCAGCTTTGAAACGTCAATGAAATTATTCCTTTCTATTACGTAATTGCTACTGTGGTCTAGCGGAGCATCAGACAACCGCAAGGAGACGGCAGCACGTTGTCTTGCAAATTCTTTCTTTGGTGGTTCTGGTTCCTTCGTAACTTTCCACTGCTTGCTCATTTAACTTGAACCTCGGTTTTCATATTAATCGCCTTTGAATAACAACGAAGTGTCATTGTGCTTTGTTAATCAACAGTTTATTATTGTTCTCATCATTATCATGCTTATTGATGTGCGCTCTATTGTCATATTCTGCTTTGGGTAATTCTTTTTTGATTACTGCATGAGTAACAATGTTCCACCAAGACCGAGAGTCTGATACATGCGCAATAGACCAATCCTCGATGCCGGCCTCAGCATCAATCCCGTTACTTATTTTCCCATTCTTGCCTGTCTCACTGATCATTCAGCAACATCACTCTCACGTTTGCTACTATTTCGCCCCTTCTTGTACTTTTATATGCCTACTGTTCTCTATCTTCTCCCAACCATCATCTGTACATGTTCTGTCTCTTTAGGCTCCCTAAAATTAAAGAGTGGGTGGACACCCATGATCCCGGTGCGTCGATCATTCCCCTATCTGTGGAGCTAGAACAGAAGCTGTGCGATATGTCCGAATCCGAGTGTCAGGCGTTCACCAAGGAGCATGATGTGCACAGCGTTCTCCCGAAAATTATTCGGGCTGGCTATCAGATACTTCACTTGCAATATTTCTTTACATGTGGCAAGGATGAAGTGAAAGCGTGGACCATACAAGTAAGTTCTGTCACCTTTTTCGAGCCACTTGGGATGGCTCTGCTGCTCTTTCCACTGACCGTATTTCCATCTCCGTCGCTAGATCATGAATGACTCAATTTTTTCAAACTATTCTTGAGTGTAATTTCTTCCAGGTGACCGATTGACAAACCTGCAGTGTGCAGACGACATAGTTCTCCTTGGGTCTGATTCATTGGCTAGTCAAACACTACTGCACAGACTTGTGCGTGCGCTGCACGCCTCGGCAGGTGCTTTGTACTGTCAAAGAGCAAAGTGCTGTTGCGGGACTGGATCGACACACCTCCGGTTCTAGCTATGACCGAACAACTACTGGAAGCGGTGGATGAATTCACTTACCTTGGTAGCTGTATCACATCGTGTGGTCACATCACTGATCATGTTAATTCGCGTATCAGCGAAGCCCGTATGCCTTTCCGGAGGCTAAACCATCTATGGAGACGGCGAGATATCAGCCTGTCAGTGAAAGATAGAGTGTATAACGATGCGATAACGCTTGTGTTACTGTATGGATCAGAGAACTGTCCAGTTCGCAGTGAAGACATTAAACGCTTGGCTGTGTTTGACCACCGGTGCTTACGCAGTATTGCTCACGTTTGGTGGAACACCGGGGTTGAGGTCGGCCAGTTGGTTTTTGACAAAAAGCCTTCTGGTGCCTCTCTTGAGTATTTGATAACTCTTAGTCGGTTACGTTGTCTAGGTCATGTTCTCTGTATGCCCGTTGATCGGCTTCCTCGGCTTGCATTGTGCGCTATGACCACACCAAGTTGAGCGAAACCGCGAGGTGGCCATTCCATGGCGTCGCAGACTGACTGACAGTCAGGTTGATGCTTGCCATTTTCCTGAATGGGGGCTTTGGGACGGTCCACACCAATGGTTTAAGACCGTGTCAGACATGTTGCGGTCACGCAGTCAGTGGCGTTCCTGCACTCGATTTTTTGCACCTGGTTGTTCCTTTTCGTTCCACTGATTAGCCTAACTCATTTTCTTTTTACTTTCATTTTGCATTCTATTTACACCCAACCTCACTATCTTGATGTTATTTATTGCTGTTCTTGCGGTGCATGTCGAGACAACTGGATCCGCCGCATTTTGGTGCTCGGGACCTAGTCGTTTCACTGAATTGCATTCCGCAACTAGAGTTCCTCTGCTCCTTTATCCACTTCTTCGACGCCACAACTACGATAGTGTTGCTTAACTGGGTTGAACTGCTGATTTCCATCTGAACGGATGTGATTCATCAAATTCATTGTTAAACCTGTTCTTCTTACCTATATATCCCCCAATTATTTGACTCAGGGATTAGCATACTCCGTAATCTTTCCATATTGCTGCACGTTTACTCGCTGATCTTATCCATCTTTTTTCTCCATGCGCCTTGAACAGTTAATATTCCATTCTTTCAACTTGCCTACTTATTTATTCTTTCCCGCGTGTCCGTTGGAATTGATGAACCGATAACGCTAATTCCTGAGTGACGCGCACTAAGTGCAATCAGAGCCAGTCATTTTAGCCAGGTTAGCAATCTATGCCCCTTTTTCCTTAAACCCCATCGTCATTAGACAGCAGTATGTGAGTGAAAAATACGCGCCATTGGTTGCACCTGATGCCAGATGATATTTTTACTTACTCACCCGACATCGCTTCCCTTAAGCTCAAACTGTTTCTAACTATTACTTTGCGAATGTCCCGGAACTGACATTTGACCGGAGTCGCATTTGTATCATCCGATAGAAGTAAAATGCACAGCGATATATGACGTTGTTTCAACGTGTATGTGACTATTGTGCTGTCGCCGTCAACTGAATCTCCCTTCACGACCTCTACAATTAATTGGGAACAAGTACTGACCCTCATACATAGGGATGCAGCGTAGCTAAGTCCCATCACATCTGGAAACACTTACGTCACCTTTTCTCGAAAGTTGCTGCTTTCGGCGCCTATCGGATAGCTCGTCTATCTCAGCTATGCTTACTCTGTAACATTCTGTCGCCTGCGTCTCTATGGGCTCATCATGCGCATAGTTTCCACCGCTACGACGTCCTCGTAAGACGCTTTGGATCGACTCTCAGTCCACTTCCTGTGCAACCATACGAAACTACATTCACCATCTGTACGGTTGAATGGGCTTTATTTTATATGGTGTTCTTTAGACCTTTATGGTACGCCTTGATGTGGGGTCCGGTATAGATATAAGGCCTCACAGCCTGCACCAGTGGCGCTTGTACACTGGTCTCTTAGGCGGACCACCTGCTTACATTGATATGGTGCTTATTTATCTGTGGCCCAAGGACAATCAGAACTGCAGGATTCTGTCTTATGGATGATAGCCTATCCTCACGCAGTACCCTGAAGTTTGTGACCACGTGCTGTTGCCCATTATTCGCTTTGTGTGTTAGCTCCCTCCTTTTCTCCACATTTTCAAGGACACTATTGTTATATGGCATTATGGCACCACTGTGGACTACGGATGTACTGCCGCTACTGTTGTCCGTGTTGTAACAATAGTAATGACAACCTTCGAAGTAATTTCGGAAGGTTTTAGAAGTAGTCTCTTAATAGTGTCTGTTACTGCCGTTATCGTCGATGTTGGTTCTTGGGTCATTATATTTATTCACTGGGACCTTACGCAAATAAACCAACCGTTTATACACTTATACATATATATATATATATATATATATATATATATATATATATATATATATTCTTAATGCTTCTTCACCGCAGTTGGGCTAAACCAACTTACACTTAAACAAGGTCTTTTTACGCTGGATAAATTTCATTCCACTTTATTTGGTTTGTTCTGCCTACCTGAATAATCTTCTATTAACTAGCCACGTTGCTTACGCTAATTGCGCTTATCTTCGGTAACTTTGTTGCGTTTGTAGCATTTTTAAGTAACTGGTGGACATTTCTTACTTATCGCAGACTCGTTGCTAACCAACTTACTTCATATGGTAATTTAGCGAAGAGTTATGCCACCGTATCTGTATGCATTATTGGATTTATTTTATTTCTTATCGTTTCAAGTGAATGGCTGTTGCTTGATATCCCCAGTATGGCTGCGCTTGATGTGCATGTTGACAAGGTACCTACCTGTCTATTACCCACTACCTCGTTCATACTGGCTCCAGGAGACCGTTAGTCGTTGCTGGAGGGGAGGGGGGGCAAGGTCCTTGTGGTCGTGCTAGGCTCGAAGAGCGGTTCCATGCACTCAGTGTGGAGCGGACTACGGTCCAGCCACCGCCTTGTGCGCGCTTGATTCCCCAAATACAGCGTGCGTGTGTTTACCTGTGAAGAAGTGTGGGCCGGCTCCGTTGATGAAACGTGGCTCCCATCCACATGCCTCCCGGTCTTATTCCTTCGGGTTTACACTGGATATGGGGTGTGTGGTTGGAGCTGTGAGTGGTGCAGCGCAAGCCATCCATGGTCCCTCTGTAGGCGCAGGCGTCCTGTGTTTGTCCACAGTGACAGGCAAATCCGAAACCGGATGCCGCCAACCATATATATACATATATATATATATATATATATATATATATATATATATATATATATATATATATATATATATATATATATATATATATATATATATACGGGGTAGTTATTCTCATACCTGCAAAAGTGGTTGTTAGCCTGACCTCCAAACGAAACCCATACACGTTTGTCGTACCATTGATGATAATGTCTAATGTATCTCTATCCAGTTTGGGACAGCTCACACTTAAGTTTGGAGAAACGCATGTACATATGTTGTATTCGAACTGTCATTGGACACAGATGACGCCAATCTATGTGACTATATGTATACCGAATGAATTCCACGAGGATCTTCTTACCGCTTTTGTACGCTTAACTTAGTACAGTAAAACGACATTCGAGCAAACCGAAAATAATATTACCAGAACTTGAGGAAGGTGAGTTTATGACAAACTCATGTTGATTTCAGGTGTTGCGAATCCAAGGCAAATTTGATCGATGCGAATTCCGTGGACTGCTCAAAAGGGCGGTTTCTCAGGTGCCGGAGAAGGCACAATTGTATGCGGAATAGAAGCACCATGAGTATGTTCCCATTCAATTTACTAATCCAGGCCAATAAGGTGGCGTATGTGGTACATTTGCCTGCGTGATGAGTAATCTTGCATTTCAGAAGTAGATGTTGCTTGAGTTCCCCTGTGTGGATGCGCCTGATGTGAATGTTGACAAGGTGCCTACCTGTCTATTACCCACTACCTCGTCCATACTGGCTCCAGGAGACAGTTGGTCGTCGCTGGAAGGGACGGAGTGCACCGTCCTCGTGACGGTGCTAGGCTCAAAGAGTGGTTCCATGCAATCTGTGTGGAACGGGCTACGGTCCAGCCACCGCCTCGTGTATGTCTGGTGTGTATGGTTTCCCAATTAGGCCGGAATGCTTCCGATCTGCTTGTTGAAGGAGTGTGGGCCGGCTCCGTTGATGAAACGTGGCTCCCATCCACATGCCTCCCGGTCTTATTCCTTCGGGTTTACACTGGATATGAGGTGTGTGGGTGGAACTATGGGTGGTGCAGCGCAAGCCACCCATAGTCCCCTTTGTAGGCGCAGGCGTCCTGTGACTGTCCCCATGGACGTCACAGTGACAGGCAAATCCGGATACGGACGCCGCCAAATCATATATATATATATATATATATATGCATATATATATATATATATATATATATATATATATACTGCGTGAGCCTTATATGGTTGTGAGTGACTTTTCCCACGGTTGCTGGGCTCGTAATCAGTAAAGTGTTGGTATTGTCACAAAGAAGGGGCTGGTGCCAGGTACTACACCCGAAGTGAATTCTTACACCGGTGTTACTGGTTCAGTCATACTCTTCCGCCATATATTTAAGGACTCCTGAACTCTTATTGTCGACAGACAGTGTAGCACTATCATATTGACACCGTACTTCATCTTTCTTCGATCTTCCGCGACAATTGTCTCACATTACATCACCTACATCGGTACTTCCTGCATTCACCCTGCCTAAAACACGTTATGAAGTGCGCTATGGGCGGTTGCAATAGTTTACTAACTGCTTTGTACTATCAGTTCACGTGCCCCGCTCGTCTTGCTAGCTGCACATGCCGGTGGGCTGCAGTATGAAGAAATAATCGCTCACACTTCGGTTTCGACTGCAGTGGCTTCAAACTTACCAAATTTCGCATAGCTATCGATGTTTTTGATATTTCACTACATTTTAGATGCACCAATCTCCCTTTCAATCCCTGTTTTTTCCTAACTTACGATCCAAGCATTTGCTTTCTACAGAAAGGCACGAAGGCTCCGCAAGCAGCCGGACGAATCCACTCCGATATGGAACGAGGCTTCATCATGGCTGAAGTGATGAGCTACGAAGATTTCAGAGCAGAGGGCTCGGAATCAGCAATGAAAGTGAGCTGCAGTTGACTCTGATCTCCCACTACTTCCTTGGTTATCTCTGACGTATCGGAAATGTTGCCTTGTAATCCGTCTGAGTCTTTTCCATCAAATTGCATTTCCCTCTCATCGTGGTATCTCAAAATGATTTCGAGCTATATTACGCTTCAAACGGCACGATACTTCTGTCAATGTTCCTTGGATGTACTTGCTCCGCTTTTTTCCCCAGTAGTTTTAGCTACCCGACCAATATGCTATTAATAAAGAGCATTCTACCAGACATCCTTTGAGAAAATGTTTATTCTGGTTCATTTTCTCCAGGGAATGTTAGACTGCAGCTCCTCTCTACATGAGATCATATTTCACGTGCGCTTATGCGCTTACGTTTGAAGAATTGCACTAATTTATATAACTGAGTTGCATTTGCAATCCTGGACTCAGTAGCTGCTCCACTCGAAGATTCCTGCTTCTATCCTTTCGATTTTTATTTGCCTTTCCTTGTGTTCTCTTCCTATTCGTCTTCGTGCACTGCTTTTCGATCAGGCGATAAAGTCAAGTGGGCTTGTCGAGTCACGCGCCCACTACACTGTCACTGCACGTCCATAGGAATTTGCATACCTGGAAGATACAGCACTGCCGATTGCCGAACCCATACTTTGGGTACGTTACGCGTACGATACTTTTGTCATCTTCAAACGCTCCGGGCTTCAAGTGGCGCAAGCTAATCAGCAATGTTTTCACCGGCATCCAATTCATGAAAGTAAAGGAGAACAATTAGTTGCCATTCTTGGCCGTTCTCGTGACAATATATACTACTAGGACGCTGGGAACAAATGTTTATCCTAAAGCAACGCACACCGATCAAATCGTGAATCATTGCATCCATCATCCGGCAATCCAAAAGCGCAGCTGTGGGAATTCTTTTCAAGCGGGGCCAAGACAGCAAAATGCGTTTAACGGAATCCATACTCCAGCAGTTTCATTCTACGTTGTCTAGCGTCGAAAAGGCCAGTACAACACATGTGCGACTTCAACAGATAAGAGAACGATTACTTTGCCTCAGATCAGTAGGATTTTTGCAATGACAGAGAAGCTTGTAATGCTTACCGGAAGCAACGGAAGCGATTTGGAACAAACTTTTTAATTAAAAGTTAGTTTGAGCAAAAAATACCTCGACCGTGATTAACGTTATCTTCTGGGAAACATGGGTCAAGTACGTGGGCCAGACTGGAAGGATGCTTGACACGATACTACACGAACACGGTCAGGCCAAGCGCCGACATGATAAGTAATCATTGTTATCGTGCATATTGACGCCGATGCTCATAAATCTGGTACAGAGAACTCCAGTAGAATCAGAAGAGCAATAAACCACAAAGAGCATGCATTACTCTTGTTCATACACTGGTGTGAATTCAATCAATAAACACTTGAAGCTAGAAGGGATCTACGATGCAGACCAAGTCAGCGGTTTACTTCAGATCAGCGGGATAGAGACAGTAATTTTATCGAAGACTGACATTCAAGGCGAAAATGGACCGCTGATCACTCAGATCTTGAAGCGGTTTGTCAAATCTTGTATGCCGAATATGGTGTTGCCTCGTTTGGCAACGAAACATTTGCAACCAAAATGCCCAACTCTGAGAGCAACACAATCTCAGATGCATACAGCAAAACCACTGGAGGGAATGGACCAAAGACGTCGACATTAAGGTGATGATCAACATATGTAGGTGCTATACGAAAACTTAGCGTATCTTACTTTCCTGTTGTGAATGGTACAGTATGCTTTTTATCTTCATTTACATCCTGTTTCCTACTCTTGCGTCGCGGGTTCGATTCCACGTAGGGGTGGGCGTCCTCGCGGTATACTCAGCCCGCGTGCGACTGGTGGTGGTCGCACGGCGGCGAAACGCCGTTACGGCGTACAGCTAACACATTATTATTATTATTATTATTATTATTATTATTATTATTATTATTATATGCTTCGAATACACTGGATAAGCTCTTACACACAATTAAATCATTCAGTGTTACAGTAAACCAAAACGCAATATGGTTTCCTCAGAGTTAAATAACTTTTTCGGAAAAGCGATCCTTCTTTATCTTCTCACAAGTGTAACTGAGCAGTTTAGGTTAGGATTGGCTAATATACGGTTGCCTAGGCACTCAAACTCCTGATTAAGATGTTTGAGATATGTGGGTAGATTTTCTAAAAGGTAGGCTTGATGCGTATTGTGTATGTAGACGGGTGAGGAGGGGTTCACACAAACACGGTCAGGGTCAATCCGTTGACGCGGCTATATGGGGGCACATTATGCAGCGTCGGAACAAAATGCACTCGCACAAACACAGACAGAAAATCCGGTATCGTCAAACGTCTGTGGAGCCATAAGGTATAGTGATTCAACTCAAGTTAAGAAATTGCTTTATGCACCCTGCATGAGTGAATATTCATCTACAACACACACGATCTCGATAATTTACCATAAAAGCAAATCAATGGCATAACAATACGACAAGGAATGGGTAGATAAGTACAAAAAACACAGTCAAGTTAAAAATCGACTGGTTAAATCAAGGTTGACAGAGATGGGGTCTTGTAAAAGACGCCATAGGTAAGGAATGACTGACGAGCGGTAAGCTTGTGTGCGGGCATAGATTTGCTTGTACTTCTGCCTAGTAGATGAAGTTGACAAACATTCAGATAAGGCAGTATGTAGGGGATGACTTGTATCGGTCAATAGCTTAGAGGGCAGCATTTTACCAGAACTGCTGTGTGTACAAATAAGAGTGTTGGTAAAAGTGGATCTCGGAACACCGCTACATCGGGCTAAGTACTTTAATGATCTCACAATTAACTTAAAATGCTTACCAAAAAGACCGGGAAAGATTACAGGGGAATAGTACGTCCAATGGGGAAGAACGCACGCGTTGCCAAAGCGAACGATCAACTCACTAGGAACGCAGGAGGCTCTGATCCGAGAGGCATAGAATGGCAGCTATCTGACTTTTGTGAAAGTTCCATTTACTTGAAGCGTCCAATATAAATCGTAACTTAACGTCACACCCATATATATTACTGATGTGGAAAACTGTAATCCCTCACCATCAATATATAACTTGTTGCACAGTGTAAGGAGCTCTTCGTACCTGGCTACTTTGTGTAAGGAAAAAAGAATGTCATAGTACTTTGAAGCATTAAGAAACAGATCACGGGATTTGGACCGGCCACTAAGATCGTTCAGAAGCGCTTGTAGTCTGAATTAACAATTGGCGTTTTGGTGATTGATGCCCAGGACGATATCGTCCGCATATTTTATCAGCGTCGCTTCAGTTGGAGCTGGCATGGAGCTGTGTTCCTTGATTTCAAGCATGCGTTCGATTCAGTCGATCGATGCCTTCTGTTCGAAATACTTGCGCGGAAAGGTGTTCCCACGAAATATGTGAACATCCTACGTGCTCTTTACTCGAACACTACAGGCCGCGTCAGGGTCTACGGTGTCCTATCGGATAGCTTCCGACCACAAGTGGCGTTCGTCAGGGTTGTCCGATTTCCCCATTTCTGTTCAACTTCCTCATGGATTCTATCATGCGGTGTTTTCTTGCGGAATGTCACGATGTAGGCTTCGAGGTGCTGCCTGGTGAAAGATTAGTTGATCTTGTTTATGCGGATGATATCGTCTTGCTTGTCGATGATGTTGCGGCGGCATAATCAATCTTGAATAGCCTGTCCAGCGTGGTTCCATTAGTTTGTATGCGCTTTTCATCTTCAAAGTGCAGTGTTGCTGCAGGAACACCAGCCACTTTATGACCCCTTGACCCTCGCTAACGAGGAACTCGAGGTGGTTGATCAATTCACTTATCTTGGCAGCTGCATCCACAACGATGGGCGCATAAAAACTGATGTCAGGTCACTCATTGCAAAGACCAGAGCTGCCTTCTTGAACCTGCGTCATCTTTGGCGACAGAAGGGAGTTTTCCTCCGTCTGAAAGGCCGTGTGTACAAGTCCACAGTGAAGGCCGTTCTGCTCTATGGGAGTGAAACCTGAAGATCTGAGGCGCCTTCAAGTCTTTGATCATCGTTGTCTGCGAAGCATTGCTTTTGTCGGATTGCAGCAGCGTGTCCGCAACGATGATGTGCGTAGGCGAGTACTAGGTAGTGCTAAACATGTTAGCTCCCCGGAACAACAGATAGCACTGAATAAGTTGCGTTTGCTCGGTCACCTGCTACGTATGCCTTGTCACCGCTTACCTAGGAGGGCGTTGTTCAGTCTACCAGGTGTAGGGTGGCGCAAAGCTCGAGGTGGACAGAAGTTGACTTGGCAGCGGGAAATGACGACCAAACTGAGTGCCGTTGGTCCGTCTCGCCTTCCTGGCTGGAGTCCACGTGACTCGCTATGTGCTTGACTTGAGACTTTACAAAACATGGTTTGCAGTCGGTAGCTGTGACGCGGCTGCTGCTGTCTCCTAGTCGGGCAGCCTGTTTAAAGTGTGTTTGGTGCTGAGTTCTCTGCGGGATACTGGCTGCTTATGACGCGTGGCAGTGAGAGCCGCAAGGAGGCTGTCTCGCGGATGCCACCTTATCTTTGCACGATAGCCAGCTATTTGCGACAGTATGTTGTCCACACAAAGTGTAGGTTCTTTGGCCCTGAATGCTTGCTTATGGCATTAAGCTTTTCAGGTAAGCCCCCCTTCTCTCCCTCTTACTATTCTCTGTTTCATAGGTCATCGTAGTTGTATGACATCGAAACATCAGTTCAAACGGCTGATGTACTGCTGTTGTTGTTTGTTGTTGACATAGAGCTGACCTAAGTAGAAAAGAAGAAAGGCGAGAGAATTGCCCCCTGAAGGACACCTGCGTTGGTGATTAGTGGGGAGAAACATCTGCCACTGACTCAGGCGATCTGAGTGCGTTCAGCAAAATAATCACTCCGTAAATAGACAATGGAGAGAGGTACTCCTTGAGTAAGCAGGTCTTGTAGCAGTAATTCGCGGTGTACACCGCCAAATGCATTGCTATAGTCAAGAAAACACATCCGAGTTGCTTTATTCTTATTGTCAAGTGATGACAGTACAGAATGTACGAGGTAGGCCACAGCGTCTAGGGTAGACCTCGAACTACAACAGGCGAACTGCAGGGGGTCCTTAGAGCGTGTTCTGGACGGCATCATTTCGAGAATGACTTTTTCCAGAACCATCAAAGCAACGGAAGTGCGCACGATAAGTCGATATTTTTGGATCCTTTTTTCGGCACTGGTGTAATCTTGACACTTCTCCAGCGGTCTGCTATTTTGTGTTGCTGCATACACATTGTGTAAATACTCGCAAGAGCTATTTCCAAACAATCGGCATATTCCTTGTGTAAGGTAGCAACATAATTGAGCACTGTATTAACCAGACGAAGTGCACTATGCTCAAGTTGAAAAGGTCAAAGGTCAACTACCTGTCTAACAACCTGACACACGGACAGATATCCCAGCCAATAGGGTTGCTCACCTCTGCGACCAAACACGGGAACATATGAAAGCTAATGCGCACTATACCCGACGCACTCTTACCGAGGCTTCTCTAGGCTACGCTACTTACTACACACTACTCATGAACGCACTGATGATGTCACCTCGATTGATGGAGAAACGTTTGCAACAAATTTGCTAAGTTTAGCGAACAGCTCGACTACCACCAGAACAACATGAGCTACCACTTTTCGCCCTTATTCCATTCCACGGCCTGTATGCCTCCACTGTCTCCCGTGTTTTGTCATAGGCGCTTTTTGCATGCGTTTCCACCACTGCTTTTTCAATGCGAGTCGCTAGCCATGTTACCTTCCAGGCATATTATGTCAATTGTAACTGCGTATTGCGGCTATCATTTTTTATTTTGCTCTCACGTCTTTGCGATTTTTTGCCTGTAACACGTCCATTTCTGACCACCGTCCTGTTATTCCTTCACTAGGCATCGGGCAAATACAAACAGAAAGGTAGAGACTACGTTGTCGGAGACGGTGATATTATTCTGTTCAAATTCAACGCCGGTGCCGGTCTCCAGCCGAAGAAGAAATGATTCTCCTATACTTCTTTTCCCTACCAAACTTTTTGCAACCCTAATGCCAAATGTTTGATCCATTGCTATCTTCGTGTTTGAAGGTGACCACAACAGCGTGCTGCGTGCATGGTTTCTTCTTCCCATTCATCTTGTTTATAGAAACCTCACCTGTTCTCTCCTGGCTTTGAGGACCTCGTTCGTGCAACGTTTGCACTCTTCTTGGTATTTGCACGTGCGCTTTGTGTGTACGGCTGTCATTGCAACGGGACTGCGTCTTGTGGTAATACGGATGAGTGATACGTATTCATCGTCCACTAAGCAAATCTGGGGGAAGGAGGCATTTTTCAAGCAAGTTCGTAGAAACAATAAACTCATTTTCGCGTAATCGTCAAAGATTGGGAAGTGGTTGTGTCTTCCTGTCGTCTAAAAGTCAGCTATGATTGACAATTCTCTAAAGCTATCCTCATCCTACTCTGTAGCACACGAGAACCGCATGTCATCCATGATTTGGGGATAGTACAATATTTCATCAGGCTAACATCACCAGATAAACGCGTTTTCTATTGGCGCTTCTTGGACCGTAACCAAAGCATTGCACGCGTGCCTTGTTAATTTGGAGGTCACCAGTTCAAATCCGCGTAAGTGCGGTCGATCTCGCGCGACTGGTGATGGTCACGTGGCAGCGAAGTGTCGATATGGTGTTCTACTGACGCCTTTATGTTTTCTGAGTGCACCTTTGTTCTGTGATCTAACCCCCCTTCGGGTTTGCTTTCACATACACATGACAATGACTTCCTGTCATGAGGTCTCTAAGGGGAGCCTGCATAGTGGTTCCTGGAGGCAGGTCGAGCTGCAGGGAAACTTTTATTTGTTGTAGTAAAAGGTCCCTTGCTAGTTTTGCCATAAAAACGAAGCTAGTAGACGCTGTCAGCTATGGGAACAAAAGGGTTGCAGCATAGAACGGTCGTGCGTTACAACCCAAAACCAGCGCCAAACGGAGGGGGATGCTCGACCCTAACGATGGAACTCAACCTGCAGTTCAACAATCCTCGCAGATCGCGTAAGTTTAGGGTGAAATAGTGCATTTAATTAGAATTTTGCACAGGTGAATCGAGGAAATCTTCCCAATGTTACAGGTACGCGCAGGCGAGTCATCTTTTTAAAGTCGAAGTTCTAATCTGCACTGGCCGAGTTGCCGTTTTTATCCTAGGTTTGCCAAACTCGCCTGACTAGTAGCATACTTATCTTCCATGTCGAACTGTCCGCATACCAATCCCTTCGCCCCACCGTGGTATCGTTTCCTCTTCCCTGAAATACCACCCGTATAAATCGGTTTATTACACGTCACAGTGTATAGTTTTGAAGGACCACTCACACTGATCAATCAGAAAATGGGACCCTCGAAGATCTCGTGGGTGTCGCCGCTTCATATGGTGTCTAAGAAGTCAGGAGACTGATGTCCGTATGGTGACTATCGCGGTCTAAATGACGTAACCATTCTCGACTGGTACCCTATACCTCACTTTCAGGAAAACACGGCTAGCCTACGAGGCACGTGTATTCTCGCTAATTGATTTGGTGCGCGCTAACTACCAGATCCCGGTCGCCGACAAAGACGTGGCAAAGATTCGTCATTTCACCTTTCGGTGATTCGAAGACTCCGTCACTCTTGGATTTGACTTTGTCTATCTGTATATGGACGACATATTTAGTCAGTACAACCGACGGAGTTTATCAAAAGCACCTCAATATCCTCTCGACAGCATTGCGTATGCTAAGTCCAGTTCAATGTGTCAGTTGATGGAATTACTTATGGTGTCATTTCACCAAACTCCCTGTACTCCCACGCGCCAGAATTCTCACCTTTCCCAGAACGAAGTGGTGATCTTCCTAATCTTCATCTACAGAAACCAATGATTATGGATCGTGTATTGCTATGATCGCTTTTTTTTTCTCCTGTTGGGTGGCGCCTTCTCATTAGCAATGATACATGATTCGTGCTGTATACAGGACGATAGAAGAGATAGAGGCAGCTGATCCCAACGTATATTGTACAAGCCAAAATGAATTGGAGGCGAATTAGCAAGGGCGGGGAGTTGCAGCAGAGGACTGATCGAAGCAGTTTGTGAAAACGGATGCACCGTCAGTAAGACAAATGGACCTTGAGGAGAATCAAACAAGAGTAGGATCCAATGTTGTAAATTAATGGAAATGTTTTAAGGTGCACTACAAGGGTCTCCCCTAGAAAACTGTAGGATTTAGACCTTCGATAGAGTTGTCATGAAGGTGAGGTAAGTGGGGATGTGCGCGAAGGGTAACATAAGGGGCTTGAGCACAAGCTTCCAAGGTGGGGTATGTTGCAGTGTTCGCTGGACCCAAGCTTCTTTGTAACTTATTCTTTCCGTGCAGATTGGAGTGCAGCATCGGTAAGTCGTCGGACTACAAATAAACTTGGCTAGTCCAGAAAAATGGCCGGCAGGACATTTTCTCCACTGTGGATCAGACAGTGTGCTTGGGAGTTGTCACCCTCCATCGCGCTCTAGTCCTTAGTGTTTGTCCCCCAAAGAATTTCGGCGTCCTCGTCGGTGACATGTAGCCGTGCGTTTGAGGACCAATCCGGTCCTGGCCATCCGCGATCATCCGGCGGGACAAGTCAAGCTTCGACTTTTTTCGGCACAATATACCACTGACTGGTTGTCGCTTGGCTCAGGTGGGGACCTCGAGGCAGTCGGTATATAGCGCGAAGGTGGTTGAGTTTCCGGAAGGTGGAACTCAGACGCGTTGGTCAAGAGTCGGGGGATTTGGCTTGACGCCGGAGTCGGAACATGATTTGGCGGCGTCCGTATCCGGATTTGCCTGTCACTGTGACGTCCATGGGGACAGTCACAGGACGCCTGTGCCTACAAAGGGGACCATGGGTGGCTTGCGCTGCACCACCCATAGTTCCACCCACACACCCCATATCCAGTGTAAACCCGAAGGAATAAGACCGGGAGGCATGCGGATGGGAGTCGGAACATGACATGCAATAGTAAAGCAAATACGCTTTTGGGGATTTTAAAACGTTTTGTGCTCTTTTGTCAACTTTGTAAAATTACCTTGGATGAAACACACGATTACCACCAACGACGAAAATATGCCTGTTAATGGAAATAACAACCCGCGGGTACGCAGGCATGTAAACTAACTCTCGCGGTGTTAGGATTCTGTCTGTGCACGCTGTATGTATTGGACTACTATACCTCATTCGATTCGTAATCACGTGTCTCAATTTAGTAATCAATACAATATTTTCCAATGAGATAGGTTGAACATCCACTATACCACTCAAATATGAATGGGAGGTTTGGCCACAGTGCGTTCACACAGAGCTTAAGCTATTTCCTACTATTCTCCATCATTTCCTTTTGGTTCTGTTAACTATCCCAGTGGTATGTTTAATTTCTTCGTAGGGGCTGTAAGTGCGTTTTTATTCCACATTATGTAGTATTTTTATAAGCTTTTGTCCTTTTTAGCACCACGAGTTTGTCGAGTTGAAGTCTGCTACCACTATGTGACTACACTTCGACGAATTCTCAATATATAGTTTCGTTCATGGAAAGCGACAAGCCTTTCTGGTAATCTTTCTCTAAACCTTGATGTGACTGAAATCTCCTAAACGAAGGACATGTCACAATCATCATACTTGATCACACCACGACGGCAACAGAAGTAAGTGGTTCGTCTATGCCAGGCAACATGCGCTCTTGTATCGCGGAGTAGTATTTGCTAATGAGTAGGGGGATTTTCTTTGTAGTGTTTTCGTCCCAGCTGCTCACAAGCTACATAGCACAGTCTAGTCCGAAAAAGCACCAGATGCCTTTTGCCGTACTGGTCGTCAGTGGTGCGCATCCCTTCGCTCCCCTACTGGGGATCGAACACATGACCGCTAGCGGCTGACGCCAAATAGCCAGCAGCTTAAGCCACTGAGTCATGGGGACGCCGTCTCTGTCGCAACGAGACTGGACCTTAACGTGGTGCGACGGTTTGCGTACCTCATTGACCCATTGAGCTATACTGGGTGATGCCTCCGAGCACCTTGAGAGCTACTCCTACCAGGTTGGTCAATGGTGAGAGGTCAGACAAACTCAGTCTCCTGGTCCTCCAGGTTGGGGGTTTGAAATGGGATAGCGTCCATTTCTGTAAAGCTAAATCACTGCCACCCCGCTGCCTTGCGGACAGGCTTTTGAGCCAAAGGCTTTGGATGAGGGCCCTAATCGTTCTCCTGTCTAGGTCTGGGCGCTCTGGCAGTATCCCAGCCCACATACAACCATGACATTTTCTTCAAACGTAAACTTCATCCTGCATCGGCCGTCACGCAGATTATCAAGGGTCGCCTTATCTGCTGCATACAGCAGGGCGGATAAGCGAAAGCATGCTACTGCTGGCGCCTCCCTTCTTTCTTTTCCACCTTTTTCTCTTACTCACATCCCGGCCCCCATTACTAACCTTCCTTCTATAATTCCCAGCTTAATTGACAGCAACCGAAGTGCTACTGGAGTAGAACCATCTGCAGCCACCATCCCACAGCACCTACCGGACGCCTATCGGCAAAAGTCCCTTGTAAGACCACGCTGTCCCGTTTCCATGGCGACCTTCAACGTCCGCACTCTAAGACAAACAGGTCAGCAGGCTGCACTCGCACGCACCTTGGACACACTGGGTGTTGATGTGTGTTGTGTGTCCGAAACTAGGATTAATGACCCTAACGGGGTTATTGAATTGACTGCACCCGGCTTATCCTCTCGTTATTGGTTGCACGCATCCGGAGATGCCGATGCGGCACTCATCGGTCAAGCTGGTGTAGGTATCATTCTCAGCTCCAAGGCTGAGTTATCGTTGGTTGATTGGATTCCGGTGAACAGTCGTTTATGTGCCGCCCGTTTGACGACATCAGCTAAGGTGAATTCGCGAAGTAAAACAAAACGCTGTTTGTTTGAGTTTTCCGTTTATGCTCCCACCGACTGCAGTTCTAATGC